CAAGATAACTTGACTAAAGAAGCATATTTTGGTTTTGAATAGATATATTAGTAAGTATTTTAATGAATTTTTTTATCTTTTAACATTCTTTTGTGACTAATAGTGTGAGAAAAACATAGCAAATATTAATTTTCCTAACGAAATGGTATCATAACCAAGTTATAATTTTGGAACTTGTAATCTTCTTAATAAAGTGGTATCAATACTTAGTTTCAATAGATATCAATATAAGTGGAATGATTAATCTAAAAAAAAAAACATATAAGTATCTTTCATTACAATATTATATTAAAAATATAGAATTAGTTATTTTTATTAAACAAATAAAAATATTAATAACATTCATATTAGCATGTTAAAGGACACCATAGTGTCAATTCAAAATTACTAAAATTAAGGACACGAACCTAGATTATCAAAAGTTTCAACTATTGAGTTTATGCAAATTTATTCTGAATATCGACCATTGTTATAGGTCATTAGAGTATCATTCTTATAATTATTTAATACTTATAAGATATAAATATATGTTAACTTATTTTCTGAAAATTGAAAAAATACGACTCTTGGATGAAGGCCATTCCATTCATCTACTAATAAAATTGATGCAATATGTAGGAACTTTTATTGATTATTTGAAACTTTTTTATGGTTTTTTTAAAATTTTTTTATTTTATTTTTTTTCCTTTTAATATTCACAGACATGATCTATGGTGTATTTGTTATCGATCAGTTGGAATTAATCTATGACAATCTTACCCCTAATCATATTATCGTAGAAAAATACAATGACATTGATCAAAATAAAAATATATATTGCAAAAATTTGAGATATTCATATATCTTTTAAAAGATCAAGATAACTTCACCACAGAAGGATATTTTTGGCTTTGAATAAGTATATTAGTAAGTATTTTAATTAAAAGCTTCTATATTGCAATTTTTTAGCTGTTGAGTCAAATAAACTCAAGTATGACATATTCAAAATGTAATTCATTGTTATGGGTCATTCGAACATCGTTTTTATGATTATTTGATACTTTTTCTTGCTAGATCAACATAATGATTTAATACTTAAAAGATATGAGTACATCTTAGATTATTTTCTGAAAAATGAAAAAAGATAATTCTTGAATGAAGGCTATCCTACACATCTTCTAAATCGATTAGATACATATGAATTTTGTATTGATTATTTGAAATTTTTTTAAATTTTGATTTTCATTCTGCCCCTTTAATTTTAATTTTAGGGATGTGATTCAAGGAGTACTATTTAACATCCTTTAATTGGGATTAATTTATGGTAATCTTACCTCTAACCATATTTATGGTTGGCAAGATAGTATGACATTGATCAAAATAAAAAATTTGTCTCAAAAATTTTCAACCTAGAAAAATCAAAATAGCTTAGCCCGAAAAGCATGATATTGCTTGTGATAAGAAAATTTGTAAGGGATTTGAAATTTTTCTTAATTTGTAACATGTATTAGTTATACTAACAATCTAATTTTTTTATGAATATGATTAATAGTTTTAGATAAGAACATAAAAGGGTATTTTTGGCAAGTATCTAAATAAAGAAAACCAATAAGTGTCCTTAGTCAACTCATGGACAAATTCAACCTGAGTTGCATTATGGTATATTGCCTTCGTAGAGCACACACCTTTAGAGAGAGAGATGAGAGGCATTTGGACAATATAAAAGATGGTTACATAGAGTATAATCTGTACTATAGAACTTATATTATGAATCGGAAAAAGTATTTATATGTGTGTGTCTATATTAAAAGAGAATTTATTTCCTGTGTATCCATCCACGTGAACTTCTCTCAATGTCAATCCATCCTTTATCCATTTTCATTGAATCATTAAGAGACCCTCTTATATGTGACACCTTTCCCACAGACCTTTCCAAAAAAGCCCTAGGGGTGAAAACTCTTCAACCATCAATATGACATTTGCGACTGGAAAGATTAATGGTGTTGCTGTAATGTTAGTGTGGGAAATTTTTGACGTTTTATTTTTTTATTTAATAAAGTTAGAACATGATGAAGTCTCCATGCATCATGTGGATGTAAATGTATTAGATCTTTAAATATTATTAGTATCTTTAATCCTTAATATAAAACTCAGTTAATTTATTTGAAAAAATTAAGAAGTTATTAAATTAATTTAAAGTATTTATATTTAAAAAATTTTCTAAACTAATTTGCCTCATTTATAAATTGATATATAATCTAATGATCTATATAAGTATTTTAAAAAGATCATGTAATATACACTATAATTAAATAATTTAGTAACTTTTATAATATTTTTAAATTAATTAATTGTGTCTTATATTAAGAACTAAAAGTAGTAGTATCAATTGCAGTGTGGTCTCCCATTATGAATACTATCCTTCCGCCTTGCTGATGAATTCACCACTCTAGGAATAAACATTTGGTCTTCTTTAATTATTTACTATTAATTAATGATTCATCGGATTTTTTAGTGATGTTTTTAAAATAAAAGCTTGGCGGCAATTCGAACGTGTTTTATAATTTAATACAAAATTTCCAGATTCAATTAAACATATCAGCACTTTAATTAAGATTATGATAGGTAGGATCTGTTCCGGAGTTATATTGTGATTATGAACGATTTTATGATGTGTTTCTGCCAACGGGAATGATTTTATCATGTTATATTAATACGTTATAATGATAACTTCAAGTTATCGATTAATTTTTAATTTTGTAATAAATATTTTTTAAATTACAAATTATTTACAACATGTGTTTGGAGTTTGTAAAAAGTCAGGACACTAAATTGATATATTATGATTAATTGAAAAAACAATATACTAATAAATAAGCACAAACAATTATTTTATTGGGAAAATTAATCTTTTGGTCCCTCAATTTTTTTTTTGATAAAATGGTCCTTCAACTTTTAACTCGGTTATGACTTAATCCCTTAAGCATGACTCGGTATGATTCAATCCATCAACTTCTAACTGGCTGAAACTCAGTCCCTAATTTTTTTCTTGTTCAATAAATTAATCCATCGCATATACAACTCATCTTGAGTCATCATTCAATCACCCTGTACATGCTGACATAGCTTCCAAATAAGCTCTGCATTCATCAGCCGCTGCTCTCCCCTGTTTCCTACTCGTCATTTTCTTTCTTCTTCTTAGAATCATCCATAAGGCGAATGTATTATTTACAGTATATATGCAGCGAAAAATTACATACCCACCCAAAGCAATCAAAATTAAGTGTGGGTGGGGGAATTGTAATTAAATTTATGAATGGAGAGACTATACAGACAGCAGATGCAGTGGATTTAACATGACCTAGAGAAAGATTTAAAATAAGATATTATCATTCTTCACAAAATCCAAGTATTCCACCAAGAACCGACAGAATAACAATGAAAATTAGTGGAAAAGTAAAGCTGAAGCTCATGGAAATATGAAATGAAAGAACATACTAAACTGTCAAATGCAATTCCATTTTTTATCGGTGAGGAGTGAGGACCGAAAGAAGAAAAGAAAAATCTATTCCTTCAATTAAAGCACAACTCCCCACACTTTGATTTTGATTGATTTGCATGGGTGTGTGTAATTTTACACCGCATATATACTGTAAATTACACCTTGGCGTTACGAATGATTCGCAGAAGAAGGAAAATGAGAACAAAACAGGGGAGGTTTGCGACTGATGAATGTAGAGCTTATTTGGAAGCCATGGCAGCACGTACAAGGTGACTGGGTTATGACTCAAGGTGAGTTGTATATGATATGGATTAATTTATTAAATAGGAAAAAAATTAGGGACCAAGTTTTAACTGAGTTAAAAGTTGACGGACGGGTCGTACCGAGTCAAACTTGAAAAACTGAATCATAACCGAGTTAAAAGTTAAGGGACCAAAATATTAATTTTTCTTATTTTATTTTTTTCCGAATGAACTAACTGATCCATACATAAACCAGCAATCAAATTTCGAAATCAAATTTCAAACCTTACAGTAAGCACGTCTAAGATTCTTGACGCATCAATTAATGACATTTTTTTGCAAAACAAAATAAAGTATTTTTTTCTTTTACTTTCTGTGGTTCTAAATATAATGTTTATTTTTTTAAGTGTCCGCTTTAATTATTTTCATTAAATACTCTTCTTTGATGAAAATATGTCCTATAAGAATTTGGGGAAATAATTGTAAACTTAAAAAATAAAATGGATCGATATCTTTTATTTAATATCAAAACAAAATTCTTCACTAATTTGTATATTAAGGACGAGAGAGAACGTTTATAATAATTCACTTTAATAGAATCAATTGTGCCAACTGATTATAGGATCCATCACACTCCAAAGCATGGACTCATAGGTATTGTATTAACATAAGCAAGAAAATTCTCATATTTAAGATAAATGTAAAAGACAAAGTGAATTGAAGTTTTATATTTAAGACTAAAATAAAAATCAAACAAACTCTTATATTAAGGACCGAATATAATATTTCAACTGACTTAAGGAATCCTTTGATATCTATGAAGTGTGGACTTGGTACAAATTTCATCAATGTGAACGTCTAGTTAGATGATGGATTTTGTGACCCTTTGGTTTGGAGGAAGATGGCCCTTCCTCCCTTGCCCTATCTTCATTCTGCTAGGGTACATATACTAGATTATTACTCACTTCTATTTAACTCTAACCCCATGTTTGGTATGAGAGAATTGGAGGGAAAGGGAAGGGAGAAAAAATTTTAACAAGCTCTATCTAAAAAAGAAAAAGTAGGGTTATAAAATATTGATAAAAAGAATATGTAAGATAAAAGAGTAAGTAAAAATAATTTAAAGTTTTCAACCCCATCTTTTTAATTTTTTAAATTAAGTTCATTAAAAAATTTTCTTCTTTTTCCTTCCTTCTGTTTCCCTCGTACCAAAGATATCTAATGTCAACCATTAAAAATAAAAAATAAAAAAAAACTAGATATGGATTCAGTTTTACCTGCTCCCCCTCACAAGAGACGGCATAAGGCGGACAAGGCTTTATAATCACATCAGTGAGAATATCTCTAGCTGCAAAAAAAGAAATGGATGATCTCAGACGATATTATTATCACTTTCAATACAACTAAAATGATCAGAATAAAACTCTAACATCTTCTTTTTTGCCATAAACTCACCATTATATGACACACCACAGTTGATGATTCTAAACAGCATAAAGAAATTATAATCTCTAATTTCTCGTAATTTACCCAGTCCTTCCACAATCTTCCCAAAAATCACGTGAGAACTACAAAAGATTCCAAATAACATGATTAACATATGTTATTAATTTCTACAAATCCAATGTTTGCACATTGGTCATGAGAAGGGAAGAAGAAAACAAAACAAGACTCAACCATTATAAAATCAACCTGGCAAGGCTTTGATCAGCTTTCAGTGTGAGCACAAAATGAGAACAAGAAGCTTCTTGGTCTCTTCTGGACATGGATAGAAGCCCTTCTTTGTCATGTTTGAGCTTATTTGATTCATATGAAATAAGTCACAAAAATGTAAAAACTATATTAATTGAAATAAATAGACAAAAACATTTTGAGAATCCAGAATTCACAACTGGAAAATGTGGAGCATATATGCTTTCTGATTAATTAAAAGTGAGACACATAGATGTAAGAATAGACACTGCAAACAAGAAGTACAATAAATCATTAGTAGGTTTGAAAAATTACCACAAAATGGAAGCATCAAACCAGATAAAACTTACCATTGCAATTAACTTTATAATTATGATGAACCTCACACTACTTAATCAATAATATATAGTGTTGAGAGGACCAGTCAATTAAGATTTTGTATAAAGGTAACATCATATAAACTGAAGATTTACATATACGTTAGGATTTCCAAACATCAAATTACAAGCTTTAGAAAGTAGACAATTGTTCCTAAGGTCAATGCATTGCCAGTTTTGTTGCAAAAAGAACCTCCCTACAAAACAAAACGTTGGTCTATCAGTACATAGTTTTGGTGCGACATTGCAAAGAAAACAGTTTTGGACATTAAAAAGCCTATTTATCAAGTCATGACAAAATCTCATATACTGTTCTCCTATTCCTTAAAATTATGTATAAAAAGCTAATCTATAACTATAAGATAGACAACTTAGTATGTATGATCAGTTCATACCTTCACATAGGAGTCACCTTCGTTAACAGTAAGGAAGAAACAGTGTTTGTAACCCAGAGGCCTTTTCGTTTTTGGACTGACTCCCTTTTCTCCTGGACAAAGAGAAGATTCAATGAGAAGTTGGGAAGCCATGTCTTAACACAATATCAAAAATCAAAATAAGTTAACACCTTTAAAGGCTTGTTCAATTAGTAAGAATATTGTTACCTGGACATAGCGCGCGGAAATTTTCTGCGGTGAAAGGGGCAACGTCATATAATAGCTGGGAGGACAAAAGAATTCATTAGGCTCTACTATTTCCACTCTCAAAAGTACCATCTAGTACGAAGCATTGAAAATGAGGGATAAAGACTAGATTGCAATTGAAAAAAATTATCAAAAAAAATCTTTGGCATGAGTGATTGCTTGTTACATGGGATTAGGCAAGTCTATGAAAGTGATATTGGGGATGTCTAATCCTATATAATAAGCAATCTTTCATGTCAAATAATATTTTCTTAATTCTAATCCCAATCTATATCCCTCATTTTCAATCCTTCACACCAAACCGTACTATAGTGAAAATTGTCAGATTCAAAGGAAAAAAAACACTTCATCATGTATGATCATTGTAATTCAGCAGTACTGAAACGACGAAGTGGGTACCTCGAAAACCATCCTTTGATAAGGGGGCGCACGTATACGGACATCCATGAAAACAGGGAATTACTTTTTCTCTGCCATTGTCTAATTTTATGAATCAGAAACAAAATCCAATTATTGGGTCAGGATTTATCGGGAAGAATACGGAACATTCATCATCAATCAAACTAAGAAGGGAAAAAAATCTATTTTATAAACGATAATATCACTAATTGCAAAATTTTAGACAGAAATAATTAAGAAAATGACATGAGTCTTGCAGCAGATTAATAGTAATATTCTATATTTTATGGTCGACGAGGGGATGCCCTCAATGATAAAGGAAGGGGAAAAGAATTCGCCGAGAATCACTTGTAAAGTTAGAATCTAGTAAGGGTATTTAAATTGTCTCATCCCGATAGGTTCGTTCCCGATCCTGATCACTTTGGGATGGGACGGGATGGGACAAAAAAATTTCTAAAACGGGACAATTTCGGAATGGGACAAAATATGGTACAGGACGCAGGATGGGAATGGGGTTGTCACGTCCCGGTCCTTTCCTGGGGTGTATAATTTTTTTAAAAAAAATTTGCAAATATAGAAAATATCAAAGAAAAACAGATATGCCCTTTTCTAATACCATTCAGCCATTCCTGTCTTACTGAGTCCATCTCCCTCTCGGCCTCTCGCAACCTCCAGCCTCCATAGCTCGTCATTGTTCGATCAATCGTGGTCTCTACTTCTTGCTTTCTACTCTCCAGTTCTCCTCTTCTCCCTAGCATCTGAGCATGACAATATCGACCGGTGGCTCCTTTTACTCAATGTTGACGATCAACTCCAGTTCTGCCTTGCCATTTGCATCTCTCTCTGTAAATCGCCGTCTACCACACTCCCCATTCTAGATCCAGTCATCCCACTCGGTAAGGTAAGTTTCTTCATATTCCCCGGTGCTTGCCGTCACCAATACTCACTCGGTAAGGTAAGTTTCTACTTTTCCATGAAAGCCCTCCTAAATTTCTCCCACGATACTCATATTCGCCAGTCTCTCTCCCCCCGCTGTCGCGTCTGCTCATAATCCTTCTTGTGGCTTCGCTCTACTGTCTGACTCTGATTGCGTCGCCATGAAATTCTGGCCCTGTCTCTCCCCACAATCCATCTCTGAACTCCCCATGAGCCCATCGTCGTGCCTGTGAACTTCTTGCCTTCGTTCTGAACTGTCCCCATTTGCGTTCCACCTGGTATCTTCCTTCCGTCTTTGATTTGGTTTGATTTTAAATAAAGAAATTAATGTGTAGTGGATTTGTCTGGAAGAACAGATGCTTACACTTTTGGTTTTTTATTTTCAAAGCTGATAGTTTTGTCTAGAGGCGCATTATTATTCTAGAATTGATTATCTGAAAGTGGCAAATTTGTTTTTGTAAAAGTGTTGTCCATCTTCGAAGGCCCAAATTTTAAAATAATTGTAGTTTTCAGCTCAAAGTAATCTGATAGGCCCAAAAAAAAAAAGAAACAAGAAGAAATTTAGAAGGCCAAAAATCAAAAGGGAAAAAAGCAGAGGGACAAGACGTCTCGGTCCCATTGGGACCTAGATAGAACCAGGATAGGACGGGATAGAGGATAAAAGTCTTGTCCCGTCCTTGTTCATTGGGACAGGACAGGGATAGGCCTGTTCCGATCCCATCCTGTCTCGTCCCGTGAACACCCTTAGAATCTAGCTAAGATAGAGTTCAATCGAGCACAAAAGGGGTCAAAAGAAAATTGGTGAGCGAGAGCTACGATGAAAATTTAATTTTTATGCTCTCAAAAAATATTCATTTAATCTTTTTCAGAATATGTCTTATTTCTCTCCTTCATTATGTTAACTCTTTTTTTCCATTTATTTTTAAATCTTTTCTCGTATGATCCGTCCCAACTTCCCATCTTCTTATCCTAAATTTTAAATTTTAATTCTAAAGATATTTTTAAAAAAAAAACCCTCAAGAAGTTAATATTAGAACATTTTTAGTTTTTATTTGAAAAAAAAAACTTCACACAACAATTAGAATGCTCACGTTTTAATGATTATTAGATTTAATAATTTACTAGTAATTAATATGGTTGGAATTTAAATACCTAATAATATAGAGATAAAAGTACAAAACCTACCAATTTCAAATAGGGGATGAGTAAAACACCTCACAAGAAAAATATGAGAGAAAAAAGAAATTAGAAAGATAGTTGAAAAACTCAACGGAGATGAATTCAAAATGAGTTCCCTAATTATAGTCTTGGGCCAGGGATACCCTCCTCAGAAGGCAAGTATCCAGAATATCTAGGAAAAATTGGCTAAAATTCCCCCTTTAATAAATTAATTAGAGAATAAGACCTGTAATAAATGTTAAGTTTTGAATCTTGCAAATATTAGTAAGTGTGATAGGAAAAAGACTATATTGTCCTGATAGATACTAATTGCATATGACATATAAGATCTTATTGCATATTATGGATTTTAATTGTATATCATTGATACAAACTTGCATGGCACTGATTCTAATTGCACATGGTATCTTACTTCGAATTATGGATCCTAATTTCATATAAGTAATCCAAAGTTACATATTGATGATTCTAATTTTATATTGCGGATATCTAGTTGCATATGAGACCTACTTGAATATCACAGATCCTAATTATATGTCAATGATACAAATATGGATATCATTGATTCTAATTACATATATATTACTATTTACATAGGCAAATTCTTATATTCTAATGCTAATTACATATGATGAATCCTACTTCCATAATGTTAATTTGTAAATAAGAATTTGTTTGTTAGTATTGTGCAAAGAAATTTGTTTATGTAAATACTAACATATATGTAATTAGACTCAACAACATGTAAATTTGGATCAATAACATGCAATTAAAATTCGCGATATACAGTAAGGTCCCTTATGCAATTAAGCATCCACAATATGCAATTAGAATCACAAATATGCTACTTTGGATCACTTATATGTAATTAGGATCCATGATATATAATAAAAGATCATATATATATATATATATATCTAGGTATTCACAATATGTAATTAGAATTAGTAATATGCAAGTTTAAATAAATTATATGCAATTAGGATTGGTAATATGCAATAATATATTATATGCAACTAGATATTCACCATATACAATCAGGAGCTGTGATATGCAGATGAGGATCCCTCATATGTAGGGCAATATGGTCTTTTTTTCTATCACGTTTACTAACATCTAAGAGGCTCACACCTTTACATTTATTACATATCCCATTCCTCAATTAATTTGTCAACGAGGGACTTTTAACCGATTTTCCCCAATATCTATTAGTTTGGATATGTTTGCAATATCTTTTTACCTCAATCAATAAGATTATGATTTAATCGTTCTCATGTTGGTTTATCTTGGATTATATTCTGATTTAATCCATAGATGTTATAAACATATATATATTTATTCATTTAATATATATAGATTATCGGGATCATATAAATTAAATTATTTATTCAATTTATATTATATTTAACCGGATGATCATTCCAATTAATTGACTCAATCAATCAAAATATAATCTTGCTTAATTATTTTATTTAATTGATGCATTTTCCAATTTTACAATCAAATAGTTCGGCGCATCAAAACCGAACCCCGAGTCAAAGTCCAACAGATATATTGGCTCGTATAATTGTGTTGATTTTTTTTTTTGGTAGAAAACTTGGCTTAAAGCTGTAGCCATTGGAATAATATATAGAAAAATGTGCCAAAGTTGAAATTCGCGAGTTATACCTACACATGCAACTCTTTGTTGTTGTTGTTGTTTTTTTTTTCCTTGTGTTTTTTGGTGAACACACAGGCAACTCTTTCTTTATGAGCATATGCCCACTAGGGAGAATAGCGTGGCCCATTAAATAATTAAATAGTAGAGTTATTTGCTGAAGATCAAACACCAATAAAAAAATCGTAATATAATCCCTTCATTTCTTATTATAACAAACAACTATCTAAAATCATACGGTTCCTGTAACTGGTGGAACCAAAATAACATCTAGATCGAAATGATGGAACCAGAAAGACATCACCAGATTGAAAGAGAAGTGATCGATAATACTACCTTCGGTCTTAATTATAAGACTTGTAAACTACAAACAACATTTTATAATTAGGACTGTAAGTAGTACTCTGGTTTGGGGGAAAAGGCTTTGTGAAGCATTGCCTTTGCGGAAGGCTCTTCTTCACTTGCCCTGCAAGGGGAAAGAATCGAAGAGGGTACCAAGACTAATTAAAAAAATCACTATATTTATAAAATAAGAACTCATTATTATTAATTATTTGTTGCAATGAACCAAACAATTTTCCTAAAAGTCTTAAACAATCAATTGAATTTCAAACCTTACAATCAAATAAGCCTATGACGATTCATATTGAATCAGTTAATGATATTAATATTTTTGCACGCAATAAATGTATTTAGTTTTACCTGTCTAGTTCAACTGGTGCTCTCCCCTGAAATGAATCACAATAATGTAGAAACTCTATTAACTGAAACAAATAGACAAAAAACGTTTTGAACTTTTTAAAAGTGAGTCGTGGGGACAAATTTTTGAGAACTTTTGTTGTCTGTTTATTTCTCATCATCATTTAATATTTATTCTTAAAATTCAAAAATCATCTTAAAAAGGAAAAAAAAAAACCTATCTTGGAAAAAAAAAACCTTGAATCACATTGTGAAATAATTCAGATAAGTATATGATTACGCAGGCTTGCACCATTTTCAATATCTTGGTTAAGAAGAGACCACTTTTTGGAATAATTAAGAATCATTTAGGATTGGAGGGAATATTTTGTAATTAAATATTAACTCATTTAAAAAGTGAAAAATAAATTGTTATAACTTTTCCTTTGACTCCCTCATGCGATGCCCAAAAGGAATTCATTTCAATACAATCAATTGTCCTAGTATCAACTCAGCGTCAATATAATCCATGTACAAATGGTGGTAACGTATTAATGTAAGCAAGAAAATAGGGGGAGGCAACGTAGCAATTGTACCCTAAGTCCCATTACCTCTAATCTTTAGTATAAAAGCTAGTTGACTAATCTCAGAATATTAAGAAAGTTTATTAAATTAGATAATAGTAATAATTAGGTGTTATCTTTTCTAGAATGCCTTTGCTAATCATGTATATTAGCTAGAACAACTATTTGATAGAGCCTTTAACTATTATAAGGACTACTTTAAAAAAAAAAGATAGATACAGGAAATAAAGTGGATTGAGGTCTTATATCTAGGATCAAATTAAAAATTAAACTAACTTTTATATTAAGGACCAGGGTAGTATGTATTTAAAAGAGAATTTGTCACGAGGGTATCCATTCATCTTAATTTATTCTAATATTTCAGCTGACTTGAGGGAATTCTCTAATATCTTTGTAGTGTGAACTTGGCATATGTTTCAGCTTTGTGAACGTCTAGTTTGGAGAGATAGACTGTGACCCTTTCCTAGGGGAAGCATGGTTGTGAATCTGGGCTGGAGGAAGATGGCCCTTCTTCACCCGCACTATCTTCATCCTCCTGGAAAACACATACCAAGTTCTTCAGTTATGTTTAGGGGGTGTTTGGATGTAAATCAAACCATGGTTTCAGAAGTGCTTTTATGGTTTACGAAGTAAATATGTGAAGGAATTTGCCTCGTTTTGCAGAAAAGTGCTTCTGAGAAGCACTTTTGAGGGTTGCCAAACACCCCTTTAATTCAAGATGTCAACCTTGATATAATTAATGACAAACTAGAGAAGTATTCAGTGTTACCTGCTCCCCCTCAGAAGACATAGTATCAAAAGACACCGCATCAGAAGACCGATAAGGCCTCATAATCACGTCACGAGGAATATTTCTGGCTGCAACAAGTTTTTGAATGATCTCACATGAAATTATGGTTTTCCATAGAACTAAAATGGTCAAAATAAAGCTTACGATTATATAAAACACCACTATCGATTATTTTAACCGGCGGAAAGAAATCATGATCTCTAATTGCTCGTAGAGTATCTAATCCTCCCACAAGCTTCCCAAAGACCACATGAGAGCTGCAGAAAATTCCAAACAACACGATTAGTATATTACTACCTCCAGTCCTTAATATAAGAGTTAGTTGACTAATTTGAGTATATTAAGAAATTAATTAAGTTAGTTATTTGTAATAAATAAGTATTATCTTTCCTTAAATATCCTTACTAATCAAATATATTGGCTAGAACTACCATTATTACAAAGACTACTTTAGAAAAAAATAGATAAATATGATAGACAAAATGGATTGAGATTTTATAATTAGGACTAAAATAAAAGTTAAATAAACTCTTATATTAAGGACTAGAGGTAGTATTAATTTCTACAAATCCAAGGTTTGCACATTGGGCAGTTTATATACACACCACGACCAGTCATGAGAAGGAAAGAAGAAAACAAAACAAGAGTTAAACCATACAAATGAACCTGTCAAGACTAGGATCAGCTTCCAATGTGATCACAAAACAAGAATTAGAAGCTTCTTGGTCTCTTCTGGACATAGATAAAAGCCCTTCCTTGTCGTGTTTGAGATTATTATTTAAGTCAACTGAAAAAAATCACGCAATGTAAAAACTATGTTCATTAAGATAAACAGGCAAGAGCATTTTAAGAACTTCTAAGAAGTGGATCTTTCTCACGCGGGAAACGTGGGGTATATATGCTTTCTCCACTTTCACCTGCAAAAAAAGATTAAAAATGAGACACAGGTGAAAGAATAGGCATTGCAAATAAAAAGGTGAAAGAATAGACATTACAAATAAGTAGGAAAAGAAATGATTAGTAATCTTGGAAAATTATAGCAAAATGAGCATCAGCACAGATGAAACTTATAATTGTGATTAACATCATAATTATGGAAAGCCTCACAATATCATTTAAGACTTATTAAAAAAACTAAAACAAAATTTTATATAAATTGAAGATTTAAATATATATTAAGATTCCCAAACAGATACGATATTCAACCACTCATTTGGAAATACATCTTAGGTGGCAGCATTTTTAATTGGGGGAAAAAATGGTTGGGTTAAAATCCTCAACTAATAGGCCTAACTCAATCCTACTGTTTAGCAACACAAAATGTTTTGAACAGAGAGGATACAAATTTACTTAAAATCAGTATGTCAATATCTCATATAAAATATATAACAAGGCACATCATTCACAAGCAATGATTACTGCGGTTCATTCTTCAAATACCGTGCTATACACAAAAAACATTGAGAGAAACTGATTAAATTACAAGCGTCAGAAAGTAGACTAGTGTTCCTAAAGTCAATGCTTTGATTGAAAATATACCTGTTTTGTAGGAAAATAGACCTCCCTACAAACAAAAAGGTAGCCATCAGTACACAGTCTTAATGCCACATTCCCTATTTAGTATTATAAGATTGACAACCATAAGCTTAAAACTATATCACTACGTACCTTTACGTAGGAGTCACCTTCCTTATAAGGATGAAAGAAACTCCGTTTGTACCCCAGAGGCCTTCCAGTTTTAGCACTCACTCCTTTTTCTCCTGGACAAAGAGAAAAGATTACATGAGAAAGTGGGAAGCCATATCATAAACCATAAACCCTAATCGCAGTATAGGAAGGCTTGGCTCTGGAATTTTAACGAAATCAGAGAATTACCTGAACATAACGCACGGAAATTTTCCGCAGTAAAGGGGGCAACGTCATAGAATAGCTGGGTGGATGAAAGAATTCATTAGGTTGCTTCTCTACTCTCATAGTCAAAGTTGCAAAATTCAGAACATAAAAAGTTCATCACGTGTGATAAGAAGTAATAGAATGAAAAGGAAGAAAAGGGTACCTCAAAAACCATCCTTTCATAAGGAGCCATAACAAAACGGACATCCAAAAAACAGGGAATTGCTTCTTGTATTCCATTGTCCTTTTTTCATGAATCAGACCCATAATCCAATTATTCGATCAGGATTATAACGAAGAATACGATAAATTCATCATAAATCACCCAAAAATTCTCCGAAAATCGCATAGAATCGAAGATAGAGTTCAATCGAGTGCAAAAGGGAGGTAAGAAAACCTGAGAGCTCGGGCTACGATGCCAATGGCGGAGCGTCCACGGGATAAAAAAGCGAGCGGAGAGAGAGAGAGAGAGGGACTGAGAGTAACAGACGGCAGTGATGCAGATGCACGGAGCGACGACGGAAGCAAAAGTTCAGAAACTGAAAAATCGAAGTGAGAAGCCGAGAGAACGAGAGTTGCAACGAGCTAGAGCGAGGGGATCCCACGTTGGGAATGGGAGCGATGCCTTGCTGGTCCAGGAGGCAAAGGGGCTTGGTAATTTTAATATACTTCTCGTATCCTTGGTATAAAGTTAAATTAGAAAATTGATGTTTGTGTTGTATATAAAACTTATTTTACGTATTTATAATCTTTTCTCAGATTAATACTATTGATATTTTCTCAATAATAATTAAGTAAGAATGGGAGGAAAGAAGCGAATTAGAAAAAATGCTTAAGATGTTTTCAGAAAAAACACATCATATTAACTAATTTAATTAACATCTGTAATATATTCAAATTAGTTAATTAGGTCATATGTTAAAAATTGGAGGAGTAGTTTCTACTTTTTAGAAATCTTCTACCTCCCTAAAATATCATAAAATTAGAAAATTGAGTTGAATAATAAAACAAAATCCCAACTAGATGATAAAATCCTTCGTATATTATAAAATAAGTAATGATATTAACAAGATCTTATTATAATTAATTAATAGCTATTTATTGATATTTATATTATAAATAAATATTTAAAGATAATATATTATAAATTTGATATATATAAATATATGCAATATAAATAATTATTAAAAATATGGTTTCCATTATTATATAAAGTTTTCCAAATGTAAAAATATATGTGTATATATGTAAAATATAACTAAGCTCAAGCCAAAAAAATATGCTATAACTCAGGAGTAAATTTAGGTCAAGTTATAACTCAGGAGTAAATTTAGGTCAAGTTAATTAGGTCCGTTTTGTCCAGTATCCAATCAGCTTTTGTCACCTGTATTAGTTTTTATTTACCCTCAAATCCATTGTTAAACTGCCGTTAGTTCTTTTCTTCTATTCCATTTTCCTTCGACGATCCAATCTCAAACTTTTCATCTTCATCATCTTTACTGCTCAATAAATCAAGCAATCAACAACAAAATCAAGCAATCAATAACAATATGCCTCCTTGATTTGATACCCTCCTATCACTCTCTTCCTAATTCCGTGCAAAACTAGCCTAAATCACTATATCGTTCCTTTACTAGTATTCCTATGGAGACACATTCATGCTATGTGTTCGCGAAGCTTCCTGGAATTGAGAATTCTCCTTTTGATTCAGCAAATGACCAGAAGAAGAAGACAAAGATGCGTAGAATATTAGGATATTGAATTTGCATAAAGCAACGGAAGAAGACGAGGCGCTTTGTACCTTTGACTAATCCATCTCCTTTCTTTAACTCCGGGGCTGATGACAGAATCATCTAGCCGCCGATATTGGTGAAAGTCGGAAGAAGACGAGACTCGAATCACCAACTCATCGTCGTCGTTTAACCATTGCATCGTTTTTTTCCGTTTTGGTGGAGTTAGATTCGTCTTGTGTAGAGTTAGGAGATGATGCTTTAATAGGTAATCATGACAAAAGCACTTGCGAAGATACTGATGACGAGAACGACTATGAGGGGAGAGCACTTGACTGAAGAAGAGTCATCGTCACCGGTGGCGGCGGCAACTCCGATGGCGGTAAGAGAATGTAAGAGGAAGAGGGTAGAACACAGAGCACCATTATAACTAGGTAATAGAAGTACTTCAGATTCCTTGAGAACAATCCTGAAGAACAGCATCTGTAACCGCGCATGGATTATATGTGGTGTTTACAGAGGAGAAACCCATGATCTGAAATCAATCATGAGCTCTTGAGAAAAAAGAAAAATTGGCGTTAATTGAAACTTATACAGGTGGCACAATGTTATTGAAAACTGACATAATGAAACTAATTAACTTGACCTGAGTTTTATCCGATAACTAATTCTATTCAATCTTGGTGGCTGAAATGACTATATTTTAGTTACTACTTTCGGTCTTTAATATAAAATCTAGTTTTTTAAGATGTTTGATATACCTCCTTCAATCCTTAATATAAAAGTTATTAACTAATTTAGTAGATTAAGAAAATTAGTAAGTCACTTATTTATAATAAATAGATGTTGTCTTTCTTAAAATACCATTACTAATAAGTATATTAGATAGAATTATCATTTAACAAAAATTTAACATGTGCGACTACAACAAGAACTACCTTAAAAAATGAATAAATATGAAAAATAAAATGAACTAGGATCTTATATTTAGGACCAAATTAAAAGTTAAACTAGCCCTTATATTAAGGACCAGAGGTAATGTATAGTTGAAAATGCTTTAACATATTTAGGACCAGAGAAGTTGAGGTAATACAAGAAAGTGTGCTGAAATTCACATAATGAATAGGGCTAGTAACTAATCTATATATTGTGAAGGTGGGTGTTTTAGTCTCTCGAAGATTTCATCAAGTGAACCACTTGAAGATTGGGAAGGAACAATAGTATTGTTGCCCCCCTGATGAGCTTGAGTAGTGAGAGGAAGGAATCTATTGGTCCTTAAACTGGAAACTCCATTTTTCATGGATTCCCATCTTGAAGCTATTCTTTGTAACGTTGGGGAACTTATATTGTTGTCACCATCATTAGTATTAATGGGAACTTCTTCCTTCACGTTTGCCCTTAACGCAAGGTACTTTCTGCTTTCAAAACTTTTGCTCTCGTCACTTTGAATCATCTCTTCATCATCCCCATCAACATCATCATCTGTGGATCTCAGCTTACTGCTACTTGTGTGTTTTATAGCCTCAGTGATATTCTCTTTCTGATCCTAAATATCAAGCAATTATGTATTGAGAACGGAGAGTTACATAAGATATTAAATAGAAAAAATTGTTGAAAGCTTTCCTATTGTAAAATTTATTATTTAAAGGCACCTGAGATTTGCTTATGGACCCATGTACAACTTATTTTCAGTAAATATAACTCTTTTTCGGCTTTGTGTAATTTACTTCAATTATGTGCAAAACAAAAGACATGTACACATAATTGAATATATGTTGCTGTTCATGCAGCCAAACAAAAGTTGCATTCGCTCAAGGACACGAGTCATTGGGTATCTTTGGAATAAATTTTATAATGGGAAAATTTTCAGCAATTTCTCCCATTAAATATTGCAATTGAATTTGAAAGTGACAAACCAAGGTATTGTTGTTGGTGGACTCAACATCAATACTAATGCTGAAACTCCTTGCTAGAGGGAAAACATGCTCCGCAACCTTGTGCCCCTTTTGCAGAAGGGAACGCTCTGAAAAGAAAATGAGAAACTATTCCTTTTCATTCCGATTAAGAATTACTCAAAACTTCCTTAATAAGTGCAATCTACAGGGGGAGTTTTAAAATAAATTTATGAAATAAAATAGATTGATATGTTACATTTATGGCTAAAATAATTTATGTAGAAAACATACTCCTCTACTAGCTCTTACATTTAGAATTGGGGGGAGTGAATTTTTTTTTTTTTACACTAATTGTACTATATCTAGTATTTCCAACTAATATGTGTGTGTGTGTGTGTGTGTGTGTTTTCTGGCATTAATTAAATATAGTATCGCAGTAATTGGACTGACCTTTTTGTAGAATGATTATGCCAGAAGGGTCAAAACCATCCATATCTTCTGCATCATCTCTAAAAAACTTGAAAATCTTCAAATTTCCAAAATAATCAATGATGCGACTAAAAAAGTTGCCTGCTATTAGAAGTGTGTATACAACCATAATGAGCGGGTAAATTTTGTTGAATCCATCCCCAAAGAAAGGTACAGCATCGTCAATATTTCCCATCCTCTACACAGACAATGAATATCAATATCATGTAACCAACTCCAATCTGCTCAAATCAGAAAATAACATCGGTATGGTTTTGATAAAAAATTTCCAATCCAAATACACCCTTTCAACTCAGTCTCTCTGGACGTTAACTTGGTATGACTCAATTCTTATAATTTTGACTCAGTGGTATTTTGATCCTTGAATTTTACTCCTTTAGTCCTATTTACTGGATAGAGAGAAAAGACAATGTTTTGTACTATTTATAAGGCTATGAGAGAAAATTTTTGTATAGATATACCCTTTATTTATTATTGTGTTGACTTTTATTTATATGAGATATAATATATATTGAACAGGCATAAAGTTGAAAAATTATTAAATTTTAAATGAGAATTAATAAAGTTTAAGGTTTTTTTACCTCTATAAAACATGTTAAAAGTGATTTATAAATAAGACCAGAGGAGTGGCTCGACACAATTCAGTCCCTATAGTTTAATCACTTAAAATTATTAATCTTTGTATTTTAGAAAATAAAATTATATAGTTCATAAAGTTTAAAACTAAAGTTGAAATGGTTAAAATTACAGAGATTGAGTTTTAGTGAATTAAAGTTAATTAAGGCATTGCGATTCAATTGAGTCAAAATTGCTGGATTAAGTTGCACTAAGTTAAAGTTTAAGTTGCAATCAAGTTAATAATTTTCTCAATAATAAATCAATTAAGGCTAAAGCATATGTTTAGTCATTTATATTTGTACCAAGTTTCATTCTAGTTCTTTAAGTTTATAAAGTGCACTTTTAATTCTTCAATCTTAATATCATTAATAAAAAATGCTAATTTATCAAAGTAATTACAATGCTAGAAAATGACCTGTTCAAAAATGGTTTTTTCACCCCCATCAAGGTGAATAAGGTTGAGAAAGTTGTACGAAATGGGAGGCGCATATCGTGCAACCATCCTACAAAACACGCCACAAGAAGAGCCAATTTTTAAAATGATTGTTCCGATAATCAAATCATCATATCATCAAATAATAATATGAAGCAAAAAAAATTTATAGTAGGCCGTATAATTTATAATAACCTATTCACTATCCGTATTTCCTCTTTTTTTTTTTTTATAATGTGGGAAAGTGATTCATTTTGAAGAGGCTTTTAATGTTTTGGCGATTTGAAATTAAAAACATTAGATCAAGATCATTCAAGTCATCCACTTTATTATTAATCCATTTAGAGAGGGATGTGATAGAGAAACTTACGAGCAAATCATAAGCAAATTTACGGAGCTGGTTTGTCTTGGAGTGAGGGAGTAGAACATGAGCATTCCCATTTTGAACAACGAATAATATGTACAGACACACATATACATCAATGGGATGAAAGCTGCTAACTGCCCAAATCAAACAATCTAATAAATCCAAAAATAAGTCATATTATTCGTAAGCTATAAACAATACAACTCATTTATGATTCTTGTGCTGCGTATTGATTAAAAAAAAATAATGCTGATGTTTACATTCTTTCTGGAAAATCACTACGAGATTCTAAAGAATAAATATAATCATCAAAAAGTCTCACAAATAAGTAACCAGCGTCAGCTTGCTGTCATTTTTTTCCATTGAAACTAGTCATTCGCATATTGCAGGACTTTTGGGTGATTAAATTCTTTTCTTAAGATCTATGGTAATATTCTTCCCCCTTTTCAATTAAAAGGGGTAAAAAAAAAGGAATCTTAAACTATTGTTTTGACAAATTTAACAATGTAACCAGCGTTCCTTAAGATGCATGAGATAGTGAGAAATACCTTAAACGTAAGAAATCAAAGTATCTTGGCCCTCACTTAAGAGGGAAGGGATTAGTACGTAAGAAAATCTGTCAAATTTGGAATTGGCATGATGAGTTATACCTGCACAAGCATCTCTTTGCTTGAGACAGCACGGATTAAGAGAGAGAAAAGGGAGAGATCAACACCGCCGGGTAGAATGGTGGCCTCTGCTAATAGAATTGCCACTGACATGCAACCCAATGCCACTGCCAATGATTTCTCAAGTTGCTTCTTCAATATGCACCTCCACACAAACTCTGACAATTAATTAAGAGATAATCAATTAAGAAAGTGGCATATATACTTATGTATGTATATAAAAGAAGATCTCTATTAACTGTCTTGATTCTTCATCATCATCTGTGTTTCACTGTAAGGCTTGGTTTGGATGAAGAGGAAAATAGGAGAGAGAATACTATGAAGAGAGACTTCCAAACATAACAAAATCTAAGGGTAAGTTATTTGATGCATAAAGTAGAAAGTTGGTATGGTAAAAATGTTCCCAACATAGTTGAACTGTAAAAGACAAAATCTACGTGTACTTTACTGAATTTAAGTTTTTTGAGGTAAAGCGTACCAGTTGTATCCAAAACTCCAGCCAATCTTCCAGTTCGTTCAGGCCTGAAGCATGAAACATATTTCCTATGCAACGATGGAATATTACCTTAGTTTTCTAATGAGCAAAAAGGAGAGCAGTGAAATTATTTAGCTACATAGAAATAATATTTTGTTCATCTTAATGAGGATTTAGCCTATATATTGACTTAAACCTTAACACTAGAATATATTCCTAGAAATAACAGCAAAGAATTTGTCTCCCTCTGTCTGTGTATACCTCTTTCTTTTTTCTTTTGTTTGAACTCTTCAAAACATTTATGATCATCACTATCTATAGTATCATGCAGAAAGGGCTTGAGAGAAGCTTCAGTTTACATCGTTGTTGGACATAACTACAAAGAGAAGCTTCAGTTTTTTGTGATCATAATAATACAGGTATCATGAGTTTTGCAGAAACTAAACTTAAGAAAGAGGGCTATTAAATCCTGCGACAGGAGTTTTTGGCACGAATAGGGATTCCTTGGAAGAAAGAGGAGTTGAAACTAAGCATCCTGGTAAGGAGTAACCAATACATAAATTGTGAAGTAATCTCTTTTTTAGCTTTGAAGAAGAGATTTTTTTTATCACTTTCACCTATGGCTATAACACTGCAGCTGAGAGAAAAGATACTGCCTCTGATCATAAATAGAAGATCTAGTTTATATAGTACAAATTGCACTACCAATTAGGTTTTATATTTCGGACTAGAGGTAGTATAACATTGACACATGAGCCAGTGCTATGAAGAACCGTGGGTTGTAATGGAGGATTTCAAATAATGTTCTGATGAATTTTGATGATCTCCTTGGAGGTTCAACAATCAACGCTATTGAAATGGATGATTTCAGAGACTGTATCGAAGCTTGCTCACTGACGGATCTAAAAGGCAGGGTTTTCTCAAAAATTGATAAGAGTTTTAGTGAATTAGAAATGTTATGATCTTTTTGAAGATTATGAGGTTTTATTCATGAATGAAGTATCTCTGACCACTCCCTTTGCTGGTTAGATTGGAAACCATGTAGAGGAAGAGAGAAAAGCAGTTTAAATTTTTCAATACGGACTAATATCTGACAAGTTGGAAACATTGGTTTAAGAACATTGGAGATCGACGTGAGGCTAACGGCTCCAAACTAATGCATGTAATGGTAAAACTAAAAGCTCCTAGGCCGAAACTGGGAAGTCTTATAGAAATTGTTTACCAAACATCCTTGAACAAGTTCAAAAGGGCCTCTCCAAAATGATTTATGGAATACTGAACTACAGGAGGAAGAAAGGAAAGTTCACTTAAATGATCTTAGAGTGACTGCTATGACAGGCAGTTTCTATAAACAAAAAGCAAAGGCAGCCCAGTTGAGAAATGTGGGGCCTTAATACAAAATATTTCCATGGGATTTTGAAAGCTAGAGTGAGAAGGAATAAAATTCATGCTTTTCAGAATAGTGAAGGTTAGTGGTTGTATAATTATTTCCAAGGTATCTTGGGAACCATTGAAGCCATTAATGAAGGCCCAACTCTGAACGTTATGCAGCAGTGTCAATTGATCAAACCTCTTACCAAAAAGGATGTCAAAGATGTCATGTTCTCTATTGCATCCGATAAGAGCCCTAATTAAGCCTAATAGTTAGAGTAGTGAGTTTTTTCAAGTCAACTGGGGATATCATTGGAGATGACATCTCTGAGGCTATCCTGGAAGTAATCAATAAAGATGCTTCTGTCTTAAGCTAGTCAATAGCATTATCTAACACTCTGTATAAGTGTATTTCAAAAATGCTTTTGTGAAAGTCTGGAAATGGTGTTGCCAGAGTTAGTCAATGAGTACCTCTTCTGGATTTATGATGAAGAAAGATATTAAGAAGGCTTATGATTCTGTGGCACGGAGCTTTGTTAAGGAATTACAAAGCGGGTTAAATTTCCCTGCCAAATTTGTTCAGTGTATTATGACGTGCATTAAAACTTCAACGTTTTCTTCATTCTTATCATGGCTTTTTCAAAGGTCAAAGAGGTATGAGGTAAGGTGAACCAATTTCTTCTTTATTTTCTGTGCTTGATATGGAGCATTTGAATAGATTATTATATCTTTTTGCTAAAGCTAGACCATTCAAGTTTCAACCTCAATGTAGTAAAGGAAATGTTGACTCATTTGAAATTTTAATAGAGGCACTCTGAATTTTCTGAAGCTACAGGTTAATTTGATTGCTAATCCTGACAAATCCCACTTATCCATGAGTGGTGTTAAAGATGATACCAAGGAGGAAATTTGTGGCTTGACTGATTTTAATATTCGGAATTTTCCTATGAAGTATGGGTGTCTCCCTTTCTATCTCCAGATAGAGGGATAATGACTACAAGAGCCTCATCCAAAACAAGACTGCCCCGGTAAACCAAAAATCCAGACTTGACTAATCAATGGAGACAAGACAATCAAAGTAACAAAAGTTGGTTCAGGGCAAACCATCCAGTATTTTTGCGACCTCCAAAATTTTTTATGGTATCCTCCAGCTCCAGGGCTTCTAAGACGAACTTTATATATTCACTGCCAAAAAAAAGAAACAATTAAGCCAATTCAATCAATCTATAATCAACTTAAAATTAATAAAGCTCTAGAAGGAAAGATAAATATCTGATCCATCAGCCCAACCTTAATGCATATACCTCCTATATCTGTAATACTCCTCCTGAGATCTTTTAAGGTAACGCCGTAGTGCTGCCATTGACTTCACGTCAGTGTCATAATCCATGTCACTTTCCCCTAATCTCCCTCCCTGTGGTTTGAAGGATGGATCTTCCTTCAACTATTAGAAAATTAAAAAAAAAAACAATAATTACAATCAAGCATTAGTTGAACGAACTCTGAAACGCCAGTAGTCATATGCACAAAGTAATAATAGACCTTACCATCTGAAGCAGCATGTAATCAATGACATTCATGTAGGGTTTCAGAGGATCTCGCTTGGACATCTGCTTTGAGGTTGCTTGTGTGATCTGGTAATGCACACCATCATCACAAATTATATATGTCTGCAAAATATAATACTACCTCCGGTCCTTAATATAAGAGTTTGACTTTTTGTTTGGTCCTAATTATAAGACCCCAATCCATTTGTCTCTCATATTATACATTTTTTCCAAATAGTCCTTCTAATAATGATAGTTCTAGCCAATACACTTAATTAGCAAGGATATTTTAGGAATGACAACACTTATTTATTACAATAACTAACTTAACTTACTTCCTTAATCTCCTCAAGTAAGTCAATGGGTCTTATAATTAGGACCGGAGGTAGTATAGTAGGAAAGAGTTTGTTTTTTTCCCTTTTGAACAATAACCGATGCCCATGTTTTGATACAGTTTAGTTTTGTCAAATGGCTTCATCACACCGACAAAAGAAAAGAGTTTTAGGTAATACATCAACTAACTAGCTTCTACATTTAAGGGGTGTTTGGCATCGTATAAAAGTGCTTTTGAAGAGCACTTTTTTGCAAATCAAGACAAACTCTTCCATATATTTACTTCGTATATCTTAAAATCACTTTTCAAACTATAGTTTGGTTTTCATCCAAACACCCCCTTAGGATCGAAGAAGTGCTAGTTTAATATCTAATTGGAGGTGGTGCTAGCTTCTATCATGTTTGGTTTTTGTCTATTCATAATTTCATTCCATTATTGAATTGTACTTTGTTATAATAGAAGTAATTAAGAAGTGGCTTACCACAATGGCATTGGAAAAGTCTTGATGAGCATTGTCTAATTTGACAGCCATTTTTGCAACTATGTGAGAAAGAACCTTTTGGCGAGTGTTCCAATCTGCATTAATCCAAAGGCTCCTTGGAATTTCACTCAATCCAAATCCAAGCAGAAACGCACCGGTCACCAGACCAAATGTATTAGAGCAAGCCATCGCAAACCCCATAATATTTCCTGTCCTAAATAATTGAAAAAATTTTAATTAAACATTAATTAATAATAATAATTAGCCCAAAATTCATGCATGATTATATATGGACAAAAGTATATAAGAAACAAACCAATCTGTGTGGAAAATAACCAGTAACATGAGTCCAAGAAGGCTGACAAGACCAATAGAGAGATAGAAAACTAGGTTTCCATGGATGCTTGTCTTTAGTCTTGCTTTCACTGTAAAGTCTCCAGCATCTTCATAACCCTGAATAGTGGGAACCACAGCCCTGTTTAGACCAATAATTAATTTAATACAAAGATCTCTCTGAGTTTGTAATTCTACCAACCTATTTATACTTCATCATCAACTCCCCCCCCCCCCCCAATTTTCATTAATTAAGGTTCAGGTAAGGCCAAGGTTCGAAACAACGTCGTATCTATATCATGTAGATCTCAAGGAAGCAGATCTACCAACATTAAGAGTTTTAAATGAGTAATCGTTGAAGAAAACTCCATAAAGGAGAAGCTTACCATGTAAGTAAGAACGTACTCCAATATGACAAACTCCACAAGATGGAAATCTCACCATTATAATCTCCATGAATCGTCTATTTCACGAAATAAAATGACTAGGATAAGGTTGCATTTCAGATAATATAATGCACTTAAATCTATATAAAACTAAGATCAGGATCCTTCAGAACACATATAAACAGCTTTATAATACATTTGAGTCCCAAGGAAATCAAATATTATGAATAATCCTTAGAAATTATCTTGTTTTAATTCCTTGCCTTATGAAAATATGAACGTTTTAAACAGATATGTAAAGCTGTCAACAAGAATGTCTTGTAACTCAACTGAATCGAGTTTTATCAGATAATTACCAACAGTACAAGAATACTACTGTACGTAAGTATAATCATATATACATATATATAAATATATAAAGCTAAAATATAAAACTATAACGGATTGGAAATACCGTCCATATGTCGGCTGGGACAAGGACAATGATGGAGATGGAGCAGAACCAGGTATAAGCAACGGTGAAGAACACATACTTTGGGACATCAGGTCCAGCAAAATATTTCAACGTGAAAATCACCATACCAATTGTTAGAGCCAACGAGAACATATAAAACAACCCCATTATTCTTAAATTGTTTTAATTATATGATTGTGTGCGTGTGTATGTATATCTATCTCCCTTGTCTTACATCTGCATGCGTGCATTTGTATGTTGGTGTTCTTCTTATTTAATTTTCTCTCCCGGTCTTTCTTCTCCTCTGTTTTTTCTGCAGAAGAAAGACAGAAAAGAGAATCATCGATGGAGTGAGGGTAGAGATCTAGGGTTTGGGAAAATAAACGAAATTGAAGAGCATTTTAAGTTAATGCTTAACTTGAAAGCAAGGAGAACCGGTCAAGGGGAGATTTTTTTGCCCTTAATTCAGTACCTCTAGCTCTTTTAGCATGCAATATAACAAAGACGTGCATTTACTTTATTTTATTGAGAGTTATTTTCGCTTATTACCATTGATTAATAATCACATTTTGACGTAAAATACATATTTGTACAATCCTTTCTCATGCATATTTTTCTTATTATGCTAGTCTGATTTTTTCCCGCAAAGAACCATACAAGAAAAGCGCTTGCCAGATGAAAGAATAAAATATTTCTTAATCTTAATGAAATAAAGTTTTGGCCCAAAAAGAAAAGAATAAATAATAGTTCTTGCATGGAATAGTCTGTTTGAATTTGCTTTGGTTTTCTTTATCCTAAACATATCTAATTGTGTGATGAGATTTTAAGCGTTGAAAATAATCTTTCTTTTTTTATTTTTAAATCAAGGGGTATTGTTGTGATAAATCATTTGCCAGTAAAATCATTTGCTACCTAATTTCCATTTCCATTATTTCAAAGGGAAAATCTGGATTTTCCACCCAACTAAACGGGGCCTAAGAGTTTCTTTCACTGAGTTCGGTAAAGAGTCACTCAAGTCACTCAAAGTCAGGTGAAAATGGCAAGTTGACTGAGTTTGTTTGAGCTATGAATGAGTTTAACCGAGTCTCTTTGTGAGTAAGTTGACAAGGCGCAAACTCAATGAACTCGGTGTGTAACAACTCGTGAGTTTGACGATCTTGATTGCTAACAAAAGCAGATCAGATCTATTGAGCAAGGGAAGTCACCCAGAAATATATAACTTGGAACTTAAACATGTCTTTCTCCTTCTTTTTCTTATGTTCCTTATCATATCAGAAACAACATATAAGCAGAAACACATTCATTTGATAAATTTGACATTTTTTTAGTATTAATAATTGGAAAAAAAAATCAAATAATTTCGATACAATTATCTCCAATTCATCCCAACTATCCAAGTAAACCCTTGTAAGCAATGAGAGTATATTCCAAAAAAAAAAGCAAAGAAAGAAAAAGGGGAGAAAAAGTCAGTAGTGAGGATTTGAAAACTTATATCAAACCCTCACGCTCAAGACACGTTTCAAGTCTCCCACATGAAGCAAATGTTGTCCCAAGGCAACTTTCCTCTTCCCAGCTTCATCAACCACACTTAAATCCTTACAAACATCCACTTTAAACCTAACCAACCCTTCTGATTTTCCTGCCAAATGCACTTTCTCAAATCCCAACAAGTGTTTCAGAGGAGCATTGTGTACAGCAGGAGGGCTAGAGAACAATAACACTGTGTGTCCACTACTCATTTTGCCCTTGTTCTTCACCATTAGATGAACATCAAAAGTCAAGTTTGAGCAATAGTGTTCTTCATCGGCAACATCAAGTGAATTGCACTCCGAGGAACTAGATTTGCAAGGATGATCATTTGCTAAGGAAACAGACACCAATTCTGGCGCTTTAACTAGTGTATGTTCAAACTTGGAGAAGCTTATTCCATCTCCAAAAGAAAATACAGTTTCTCCCTTATAAAATCTATATGTTCTCCCAGGATACCCTGTGGCTGGATCGGGCCTCATGTTCATGTTGGTCATTGGTACGTTATCTAAATAGGATTGTGGGTACCATGTCATAGGTAATCTCCCGCCTGCATTAAGAAAGTTCATTCTTTTGTGTTAGAAAGTTCACATTTTTCTATTACCCTCTTGGAATGTATGATTATATATGCAGTTAAAGGATCAAATTTAGAGCTTAAATTAGCTACTTAAGAATAAGCACGTTGTGTGTACATGAAGATGTCATGTGAAGAGAGTATGAGAGACTTACTTGGATTGTGAAATCCAAAAAGGACATCAGCTATGGCAGCACCACCGGCTTCGCCAGGATAACCAACCCACAAAATGCTTGTGATCTTATCATTACTTTTGGCAAAGGACACATCCATGCCTCCACCAGACATGATGACAAGAACCACAGGTCCCTTAGACACATTTGCAACCTCGCTGATCAAAAGTTGCTGCTGCCCTGGAAGAAGAATGTTGAGTCTGTCAAGGCTCTCTGCCTCTATGGCCAAACTTGCTCCCACAACAAGCACAGTTGCATCTGCAGAAGCTGCAATCTTCTTCGCATCGTCTAGCTCTGCATTCGCGCATTGCACATCAGCACAACCAGCAGCATAACTTGTAGAAACCAGTGCTGTTAGCCCTTGCAATGGTGAAGTGTAGCTACAAGGGATGCCTATAAAAAAAAAGACACAAATTCTGTGGGTATTGCAGGTCAAGCTAAGTTTTAGTTCATGTAATTTCTCAAAACTTTATGAGTAAATCATGAATAGTTGTAAGATGTGGAGAATTTTTGTACCCTCATAATTTCCAATCATGGTCCTAGTGGCATTAGCATTGGGTCCAATAACTGCTAGAGATTTGATGGTCTTGGCATCAAAAGGTAGTGATCCTGGACTGTTTTTGAGCAGAACAATCCCTTGCCTCGCAGATTCTCGAGCGAGTTCTCGGTTCGCTTCAGTGCACACATCCTTGGGACCAAGGTTTCCGTAAGCCTGCTTGCTTGGGTCACCATCAAAGAAACCAAGCCTCATCAAAGTGGCAAAGTTGTTGGACAGTGCTTTGTCTATGGATGCTTCATCCACAAGCCCTTGCTTCACTGCATTTTCTGTATATTTCCCTAAGAAATCCCCACAGTTCAAGTCCAAGCCTGTCCATCCATTCGCATTTTTGCAGATAACAAAGTAAGTCAGCAGGCATATCATCTAAACCTGCATAACCAATTAGTGTTCATCTATTGCATATCATTGAAGGAATCTTGTAATTTTTTTTAACACCTGCGAGAATGGATTTGGCTACTGCTTCTTCAGGAGTCTTTGTATAGTGCTGGTCATTAAAAAGCACTTTAACTGAATCACAATCTGAAACAATATACCTACATTCCAATATATACACACACATCAAAATAATATTAGTATTACACATGACTTAACACTTGGTAAATTTTTTCATATCAGAATAATTAGATTTATACCCATTTAGTTTCCATTGGCCTCTAATAATTCCTTTAAGAAGGTCAGGATCTGCACAGGTTGGCTTCCCATTAACCTGGTTATAGGAGCACATGACACTAGCAACATTCCCATCAATCACACAACTCTTGAATGGTGGTTGGAAAGTGTCATCCAAATCTTGTTGTGTCACCTAACCAAAATAAATAAATAAATATATATGATTTCTTTAGTCTTTTCTGCCTTTAAAAGAGCCTAAAGGGAAAAAAAAAATTGATTTGAACCATATAGATTACCACAGCATTGAAGTGGTAGCGATCAACACCCTTCCAATTATCCAAATCATAAGCTGTGTAGTGCTTACAACAAGCAGCAACTTTGAGCTTGTTCGAATCGGCATCATCGTTTTGTTGTAAGCCCTTAACATACCCAGTCGCGTATTTACTGGCGAGCAAGGGGTCTTCTCCGGGAGTCTCTTGGCCTCTTCCCCATCTTGGATCTCTAAATATGTTGATGTTTGGAGACCAATATGTTAGACCAGCTAATCCCACATTGTACATTGCTCTTGCTTCTGTTGAAACCACCTACAATGACCACAAATCATCATAAACATATCAATATATTACAGGGAAAAAATGAATTATTCAAAAAAGTTTCAATATCCGTCTGAAATGGACAAGGGAAAGCTATTCTTATAAGCCATAAAAATGGGGAATAACGATTCAATTTGGACCCATGTATTATATTCTTATGAGTCCACACTTTACAATATTCTTGTGGGCCTAAGTATTAATTCTTATGGGCCCAAAACTTCACGATAAAAGTCCTTTTTATTTTACACTACAAATCATATGGGACCAATAAGAATATTTAGGCCCATAAGACGGTACCTATTAAAAAAACAAAAAGGGATGGTACCTATAATGTGTCGGGTAGTTTGAATTTATTTCTCAATGCTTTTAAATGCATACTCCACAACATAATTTTATTCATAAACTGAGAAGTAAAAAATATATTATCATCATCATCAATAACAATTAAATCGAGTGGAAGAGACCCAATTCTTATCAAACAAAGTTAAAAGATTTTAACTTTGTCGATAAAGAAAATTATGTTGACCGAGTTTGACAATGCTAAAAAATGATTTAGTAATACCGGGTACTAAACTACCAATACTTTTAGAGGAAAAAAAGCAATGAATTGTCATATAAGAATGTGGTAACTGGTAAAATATATGCCAGAAAAGTGTTATTGTCTTGACCTCTACATTTGATTTAAACCACAGAATGTTGTAATAATTGTTCAGCCAATTAAATTTATTGAACAATTAGAAATTAAGAATTGTGAGTGTGAGTGATTGGTTAATTATTCAATTATGTCACAAACCCATCAGCATCACTCCTATCACTTTCACACTCCTGGGCGTAAAATTCAACATGCAAGCTGGATCCTCTCAATGTATTAATCAAAATCTGCCATATCCCACTAGGAGTTCAACCTACATTTCTTTTTTTAATTTTTGGGTCATTTATTAAATTGTATAGTTCAATCATACATATACACCTAAAAGATTTACACTTTTAGGTCAAAATTCAACAGGGACAGATCAAAAATCAACCCCTTTAACCACCCTCTATCTACTTCTCTCAAGCATTAATGCACATAAAAACTCGGAAAATTCATGGGCGTATTCTACCTAGACACCAAATTTTATAAGCAAACAAAAATATAATTATTCAGTATTTGGTATTATAATTTACCTTCTCCCATTCTAAATATAGGAGCTAAATAATTAATTTATAAATATTAAAAAAAGTTAAGTTAATCATTTATTTAAAAAAATATATATGTATTGATTTCTTTAAGATATATTTGTAATGAAAACTCTCATATGAAATTTTTTCTTTAATATATATAACCAATAAAAATAATTTAAAGGAAATTATAAACTTAGATACAAAATGGACTAGAATGTTACATTTATAACTAAAACAAACATATACATTAACTCTAATATTTCGGAAACGAGAAAAAATAATTTATATCTGAGTATTGGCAAATAAAAAATGACTCTTCCAATATCCAACTTACTTTTATTCATTTATCATGTTTGAATTTTTAATTCAACTACAATTGGTTTTTTGGCAGTATTTTCCAATTTCCATCCTATATTAATTATATATCTACTTCAATTTTGATAAATTGCATTATAAATGCATTCCAAGAAATTCCCCAACTCATTTTTTTCTTTTTTCTGCCGACACCCCAACTTACATTTAGGTTTAGAGAATCAAACCTTTCGAATCATGATATTTAATTTCATATTCAAAAATCACCTAAATGTGTACGATATTTGATAACATGTTCTCAGACAGCTACCAATTCAAATCAATGAAGCTTCGTTGTAAAATCCAAAGCAGACCAGCTAATTGGTTTGTTGAACCAACAAACTTAAATTTTAGTACATTTTGAAAACACCACAAAAACCACCAGACTTCATTAAAAAAATAATATCAATAATAAAATTAAAAACCACTACTTTATGATGAATTCGTTCTCTTTTTTCACATATAAAATTTCTGTCTTGATATTAAAAAATTTTGAGTGCTTCAATCATAAGATTTAATATCAAAATGATTTTTTTTCCAACTTTCGAAGGACCAGACACATTTTATAAAATAAAGAATAAGACAAAAAAATTATTCCCCCTTTTTATTTCTTTTAGTTCAATTCCATGTAGTTTACATATTAAATAAGCAAAAAAAAAAAATTGCACAAACTGATATATTTACATTTGAATAAATAATTCTGAAAGGATACGACCACATGTTAACCACAGAACCATAAACTCCCCGACGAGACACACGGGAAGAGAGGGAGGGATCTAATGAAACGTGCATATAATAGTAATAAGTCTTGTCCTAAGCTCGGCACTATGAATTGCACGATATATTCTCACATTTAATTTTACTAAGTGGGCCTAAGTGGAGTTTTTAAGGAATCAAATGTTATTAACCGCCTAAAATTAAGTCAAGGTGTAAAATGAGATGACCCCCTCTTCAAAAGTGAGATTTACTGCCGTAAAAGCGAGAAGTAGGTGAGTATAAACAAATATAAATACCCTCTCCGTCTTTTATTATTAGAAACAACTATTAAAATTATTGGGCTCAAAATATTAGCTAAATTTAGATGAAAGTAATAAATATGTAAGGTATATACATATCTTTTTAATTACATTCTTATTTGCAAAGATAGTTCATGAAAAATAATATAATCAGTGAAAATTTATCACAGGAGGATAATAAGTGACATATATTTAATAGGGTAAAAATGAAAAGACTAATTTAAATTTTTAAATAAAGAATACTTATTTCTTATATTTAGAGATATCACATCTACCAAATTGTCTCTTGTTAAAAAAAAATCTGGAGGGAGTAGTATGTTACACTATTTAATTATCATGTGTGTAATTTTTTATTTCGTGACAAGTAAAAACGAATTCAAAATTTGTAGGCACTTCCTTCAATGCCCTTAACTATTCTTTTATTGTTACTACTACTACTATTACGATAGATATAGATTTGTCAATGCCGCTAGGCAAAAAAGGGTAAAAAAGATACACAGAATCTGGATTCCTCACGTCTGCTCTCTGTTCTTCCACAAAAAGCAACATCATGATTGCTAGAAAGAATCACAAGTTCACAGAACATCACACACATTGCTTCTCCTATCAAGCCAATCCCCTTATGCTCAAAGATAAAAACAAACAGGCAAACAAATTTATACATTAGAGAAGAGAAATCTGACCTTTCCAATGGCCTCAAACAGAGACGAGTTGAAAGAAGCGGCAGTGAGAATAGGCATCGGAAAACTGGTAGCTCCAGGAACCAAACTTGAAAACCGAGTTCCTGGGCCCACATTAGACACTCCATGAAGTGCCTCGGACCACCATTCATACTTTGGAATCCCGAGTCTGCTCACATTCGCCGCAGAATTCACCAGATTCCCTACCTTCTCTTGCAGAGTCAGTCTCTTCACCAAATCCCCCACCCTCGCTTCGATCGCCAATGACTTGTTGCAGAATCCGAACCCGGCGAGTTCAGGATTGTTGGCCACATCACAGGCAAAAACTGGTGACGTTTGGCCTGAAACTCGACCAGGACTCAGTAGAACAGAGAGGAAGAAGAAGGAGAAGGAGAATTGAAAACAGGGGAAAACAGAGTGCGAAACAGACACCTTCGGTGCTCTGTTTCTTAGTCTTCCGGTATTAATGGCCATTGTGGCCGGAGAAATAAATGGGGTTGAGGAAAAAAAAATGAAATGGGTTTGGTTTTTATGAGAAAAAATGAAATGGGTATGATTTATATTGAGGAAATTCAATGTGGGGATCGTTTGAAGAAGAGAGGGAGGAAGAAGGGCAAGAATCTGTACAGAGTTTTTCTCTCAGGTTTTTCTGAGAGAAAACTTCTCTGGTTTCCACAAGGGAACTGGGTTTGTTTGGTTGGGAAGTTTCAGTACTGTGGTTGGTAATTTATATTACACACTGCGAGGACTGCAAAAGAAAAATAATAATAAATAATACTCCTTCTCTTTGTCTTTTTGGTATCGTGATTTGAAAATTTGGCCAAAGTTTCTTGAACAGGGTAAATGACGTGGGGAAGTGAATCATGATTTCATTTCAAACTGTGAGATTTTATTGTAAAAGATTGGAAAGAAATATTGATAATTTGATGTTCACTTGTTGACAAAACGTGGATGAATATTGAATTGAAATCGTGGATTAAACACAAAGTTGTTTGTTTAAATTTAATTCAATGCACTAAGCGAACAAAAACAAGATTCCATCTTTCTTGTAAGTTGCAAGTTGCAACCTTATCAACAAGTTCGTATGTTTTTATTCTAAGCAGCTTTAAGATTTAAACGAGTATGGATTGGCCTCTACTGGACGGCAGTTGGGGAAAGAAAGGAACAAAAAACGAATGAAATAAATAATTTACACTGCTGAAAATCATTGATATAATCGATATGATATATAAAAAGGAAATTTTTTTAATATTGAAAAGTTCGTGCATATTGTATAATATAAAAATTATCCCTTTTTCCTTTTTTTCTTTTCATTTTGCCTGTAACTAACCTTGTCGCATTTTTAAAAAAAATTGCACATGGAAAAATTGCTAATTTCAATTTAGATCTTCTATAATCAATAATATTGAATAATATAAATTTAGAAGAAAATTAATATATACATTTATAAGTTGTTATCCCTGAAAACTTCATTTCAAAATATTTTAGGTGACGTAAGAAAGAAAAAACACATAATCGTTTCATGGGATCTCATCACATAGATGAAATCAATCATTTTCGGTTTGTCGCTTTCTTTACCTCATCTAAAATCACTTTTAAAAGATTAAAAAATAAGCCATTTATTCACCTTCTAAATACCAAGAAAAAATTCTGAATTGAAATATCTAAGGCAGTCATTATGAATTAGTTATGAGAGTTACTTGTTTAATCACTTCATTCAATTACTATCATAAATTACTTTCAACCATCTCTCTGGAATTAACAAAGAGCGTTAACTTGTTAAAAATGTCTCAAAAAAAAAAGTCAAATTTATTTTGCCAACATTAAAGAAAAAGAAAAACATGATATTTGAGGAGTCATGTAATTAAAAAGTAAATTAGAATTAAATTATTTTAATAATTTGCAGCTTAGATAAAACTGAAAAATGCTAATCAATAACCCTTTGTATTATTTATATTATGAACCATTAATCTATTCTAAAAAGCATCATATAATAGAGATCTAATAGAGTATATGGACAATGCTTAAACCAAAACTAATAATGGATATCAGATAATTAAGAGGAAGAAATTGAAGGTAGTGATTGAGAAATGGCCACACTTAGTGCATGAGAAAGTATTCCAAATGTGAGCCAACTAATTTGTGAAGAAGGGAAATGAATCTTGTGAAGCTGAGCTGTGTGAAGATATAAACAAGCATCTCAAATCCCAACTTGCTCCTATCACTGTATAAGAGCCTTTTTCAAACTGTTCCAAAAAAAATGAAAGGGGGTCGTCAATTTCGTGCATTGAGCTACTTGCACTCTGATAACGATAAAATGATAATTATTCGTATACAAAATTTAAAAAAATATATTGACATTTTTTATCAAATTTTTATCAGGAAATTACAAAAATGTGTCCGTAGAAAAAATAATAAATAGTAAAAAAATCAATATTTGTGTGGTTGGTCATGAAGGGGTACAATTTAAATGAATCTAAAAATTATGGTTTTATGGAAAAATAAACCTCACTAGAAAATCTCAAGTCCAACATAGTAGTAGTATTAAAATAATTATAATTTCAAATTATTTGAAATTCTTAAAAATTTAACATGCACAAAAAAATACAATTCAAATTTCAAATAAAAAAATTTTTATTCCAAGTTTTTAAAAATTGATGGAAATTTAATGCCGGTAGAAATAAGAAATATATTTAAATAATTGGGCCTCTAACTTGTACCTTTTTTAATTCTGATTAAAATGCTGCTGTGCTTTGTTTTGTACTTTTGTTTTGCCATTTTCTAGGGTCCAAGTTGCAATTCTTTACCGTGATATTAATTAATTGCCTATATCTTTTTCCCACTAAATTTTGCATCGTTAAGATGAATTTCATTAATTTCCCTTTTTCTCATAATCTTTTTCTAACAACTTGATTACTTAAAAAAAAAAGTAAAATAGAAAAATAGAAAAAATTGTATAAATAAAAAAGTAATTTAAAGAGCAAAAAAAAATTACGGTGGGACTTGAAGGTGGGACCTCCACCTGCATGCACGCTCGTGGCTCTATCCTTAAACACGTTAGGTTACGGGAAATGGTTCCAACTTTGACCAGTCCTCTCAAATCCTCCCCGGGGAGTTCATTTACGTTATTATAAATTTTACTGATCCGGTCCTTTAATTTAACTTTTGTATCATTTTTTTTTTGCCAAAACTTTTTTGTCATTATATGTCAAGCGTTTAAATAAAAAATTAAAATAGAATAAGGTGCTTAAATATTTTTGAAAAATATTTATAAAAGAACATCCAGCACTTTTTTTTTTTTATAACTTTTATATGTCTTGAAAGCTGAAAGTTTATTTTTTTTACTTTAGTCATTATTTGTTGTTAAGTTTGATCAGTAAACTACGTAATTTGAACTGTGTTTTTAACTGTTAAACTTAAGGTAGATAACATTTTAGAGGAAAAATATATAAATATAAATCTATAATATAAAAATGATAAATTAAAAAAAGAACACGAAATCAAGTTTGTGTCTTAAAATACAATTACATTTAAATTAAGTGTAAAACAGTAACTTTTTATTAAAGTTAAAATAGAACAAACACTGTTAAAAACAGCAGGTTAGCCTTTGCAGATTAAGCAGAAGTAATTTGAAAAGACGCTCCTTAAACTAAGTATATAGTTGTATTTTGCAAACGCATCCAAGCCATCACTTTTTAATAAGTTAAGCCTATGAGTCTATTTCATATTCCTGCATCTAATTAAATATAAACATGACTTTAAGCGAAATCTGACTCAAAACTCGACCCATTAGCCTAACCAGGCTCTAATGAAAAAACTGTTTTTTAGGATTTGTTTGGATTGGCTTATTTAAGTGTTTTAAAAATATGTTTTATACAAGTTAAAATAAAATTCTTTTTACATACTTATCTCGTATTTTATAAATTATGATTAAAAGTTATTTATAAATTATTCTAAAAAAACTTGAAAGAGGGGATCTAGCCGAGATTAACTCCTCTATCAAAATCATTTTAATTTGTGCATGTATATCTCTACCAAAATTTTATACAATATATATTCTGTTGATTTTAAATATAAAATTTAATTAATTAATTTATATAGATTAATATAAAGGGAGAATTGATTATTTTGTATTATTATGTAAAAATTATTGATTTTTTTCTAAAAATATGTCTATTTCAGTGAGAATACATTGCTAAAATTAATGAAGACAATGTGAAAAAAAAAAAAGAGATAAATTATATCAAACCATATCGATCACTTAGATTTTACATTTAAGATTAAAGATAGTACTCGTATTGTTTTTCCTCAAAAAATCGTTTGCTCGACATTAACATCTGTGCAAGTAGCTAGAGAATATACAGTATTTTCAATAATTCTTATATTTAATTGTGTTATCATATAATTAGGGACGTAAAATGGTCATATTTCATCACATTTAAATAGTATAACCTGATGTGGCTTATCAAAAGGAAAAAAAACTTAGATTTCCAAGTTCTCTGGTCACAAATAGTTATGTATCTTTTTTTGTTTTATATGAATTTATAATTAAATGTTATTAAATGCTAATATTTCAAAAATATGACACATGATGGCCATGCGTTATTAGAAAATTTAATATAATGAATATAAAAAACTTGATGTAAGTTGTTCTTATCAAAATATATAAGCTAAAGTAAATTTAATATCAAATATTGATACTAGTACGCAGCATTCATGGAATTAATTATTTTCATCTCTCAACTTTTTCATCATGTAATCATAAAATGAGAGACACTTAACACAACAGAAATTATATCTAAAGGTCAAATTCACAAAATTTTTTATTTTTAATTTAAAGACCACCGACAGCAACTAATCATTATATATTTTTATAGCTGCAAATTTGTATTATGTGAATGATAAAGACCCGTAATTCAAAAAATAAATTTAAGAAATTTTCTTAATAATTAATTATTCTATTAGGTACTTTTGAATATTCTCCGCTTAAGCTACACATTTAGAATGGATAATGAGCATTTTTCACGAAGTCAATTATATTTTTCATAATATCGGCTAAAATTTTTATATTGTTCATAATTACTAGTATTGATCTTCACAATTTACTTTCATGTCCCAACTTTTCCCTTATGCATCAAATGAGGCAAACACATAGGCTTATCTACCCATTCATATACTTAATTTTAAAAAAAAAAAAAAGAAGAACTCTTTGCTAAAATATATGGGAAAAATCACAAAGAAGTTTTGAATTTTGTTTTATTGCCAATAGGTACCTTTTATATGTCAACTCGTGATATTTACGTGTCACTAACACTATTGATAATTAAATTTCTTACAAGTGATTTGTCTCTATAATTTTTCTAAAGATATATATGTCCAATTTAATTATATAAGCTGATGATAAAAAAATTCACGTAAAGTCAAAGTCATTGTAAAACGAAGCAATCTCAGCTTTTGGATTGTTTGGAAAGATACTCAAGAAACATTGCTTCAAAATCTGGTGTCCCAAAAAATGATTGGCCATTATCAATTTTTCATTTCTCCACAAGTCATTATGACATCAATCAATTAATTCAAGCTGTTTCATTGGGAGCATCACTCTGTTATGTTTGAATGAGATTTCGGACTCAAACCCTGGTGTTTATTTATTTATATGTATATCTTTAAATTGTA